ACACACACACACACACACACACACACACACACAGTGACACCCCAGCTCTGTCCAGGCTCCCTGGCCATTTTGTACCCAACTCCCCTCCTGTGGAACGACTTTCTTACTAACCCTTGCTCCTGAAATCTCTGTTCTGACTCATCTTCTCAGACCCAGATTCTTGCCACCCTCCTGCGGTCATGGCTTAGTCCCCAGCACCCCAGCAACTTCAGTGTCTCTCCAGACCCAGCCTCATCCCCATCCCTTGCACAGGTCACTACACCACCTCTAACTGGCCCCTTGGCTCCCACTCTAGCTCCCCACGGTCCTCCTTCACCTCATGGTCAAGGTGACCTCTAAGAACATTAAGGCAGAATCATGTCTCTCCTTTCCAAAACCTTCCAATCATTCTCAGTGCTTCATATGACTTTGAACAAAACTCATCCCCCTGAGCAGGCCTGGAAGGCCCTGGGTGAGCTGGCTGCTTCCACCCTTATCTCAGCCACTGCCCTCCTGCTCTCGCTGAACACGGCACACCTGTGCAGGTCCAAGGCTGTTCCTTCTGCCTGAAACAGTGCCTGCTCCGATCTCCCTGTGCTGGCTCCTTCAGTTATTCTGCAATGGCATCTTCTCAGATGCCTTCCTGGACCAGTTTATAACATGACCCTGTTCAGTTTCCTCGTGGGCTTTATGTCCACCTGCTATTTTGTTTCTTGATAGGCTCGTGGAGTGTTTTGCTTTTTGTTTTGCTTTGTTTTGTTTTAAGTAGGCTCCATGCCCGATGTGGGGCTCGAACCCGTGACCCTGAGGTCAAGAGTCACATGCTTTACCGACTGAGCCAACCAGGCGAGTCCGTGGGTTTTATCATCAGCCTCCTCCCACCAGAATGTGAGCCCCGTGCAGACGGGGCCCTGTTTGCTCTGTGCACCTGAATAGGGGTCAGGGCCCTGCACTGAGACATACTCCACCAAGATGCGCCAAGGGAACAGGTCCCCAGTCACGCTGTCACTGCCCTGCTCATCTTCACCCACAGCCCGCTGCTACCTTCATCTCTTCCATCCAGTCCATGAGGTAGAGCAGGTCCTGAAACACCTTCTGCAGCTCCAGGTTGAGGAGGAGCCGCTCCCGCCGGGCTGCCACCATCTGCCGCAGGAAGTCCCAGAGCCGTGCCACGTTGTGCTGCCGTGCGGCAATGCGCTTGATGTCGTGGTAGCGCTCGGCGGCCAGCTCTGCGGCTACGGCATCCACAGCCTGCACCCGACCACTGTAGGCCACGATGTCTGTCTCAATGGCCTCGTGTTTCCGCACTGCTGCCTCGACGGCCGCCAGCTCCAGCCCAAAGTTGTCCTGAGGCAGAGGGCAGGCAGGGGAAGTTGAGGAGCTCAGGGCCACCACCTCTGCTCGCCAGTCCCTTCTGCTCCCCAGAGGGCTTCCACTGCAGGATGTCAACTTTGCAAGGTGGCTCTGTCTCGTCCCTATCCTATCCCATCCTATCTCACTAACCCTTTCTCCAGTGCAAGCCTCTGGCCCCCGTTCCAGGGATTCCTGGTCTTCTTATCCGTGCGATGGATTCCTGGTTTCATTAGCTCCCCATGTTGCAGGGCTCCTAATCCACCACTCGCTCTCCCATTTCTCCTGCCCAGCCTGCACAGGCTAAGAGCCCCCTGTGTTTTACCTGGGACACAAGGCGCTGGTTCTCACTAAGCCAGGTCTCCCGCATGGCGGCCTTGCGGTCGAAGCGGGCGGCCAGCTGCTCCAGCTTCTCCTGGCGGATCAGCTCGGTGCGCAGGGCCAGCTCACGCTCATGCTCAGCTTTCTCCAGCCGCTCCCAAGCCTGCGAGGTGGGGATGGGATTGGTGCAAAAGAACCAGGGCTCAGGAAGTGAGGGTGGGGAGGGATCATCACGACCGAGGGCACACTATGAGTCCCACGGAAGCTCAGTCTGCTGGGTCTGTGGAATGTAGTTGGTTAGACATTTGTGCGTGGAAGTATGAGAAGTGGGACGACGTGAGTGCCACGGAGCTGCGTGAGAGCTCATCTGCTTGTGGATGAGGACTGGAAAGGGACAGGGAATGGTGGAGACCCCTGGATTTGTTTGTGGTGGTGGGACCGCAGGTGAACCCTATTACTTACATTAATCTCACAACATTGTGAAAAAAAAAAAAAGTAGAGACAGCGAACTCGGGGTATGCTGAACAAGATAAGGAACTAGGGTGTAATTTTATTATGTGCACTTGTACGGAGAGACAGACGGAGGAGGAAGGGGGGATGTGCAGGATGCACAGGAGGATGTGTGAGTCATATCTGTACCGGGGAGGGCCGTGGGGAGCCTGGACAAGTGTTCCAGCTGGGGTAGTGGGGGCTGGTGCCAGGGATGGGACATCGGTGGGACAGGAAGGGAGGCCGTGCACCTTGTTGATGTCAGAGATGAGCCGGCCCTCGCGGGGCGTATAGACCTTCTGATTGTTGGCCCGCAGCTTGCTCTGGATGGTGAAGAGCAGAACTTCCAAGTTCCCCTTCTCGGTGAACCTGAGGTAGGAGGCCAGGTTGGGGTCAAGGGCCACTTAGGCACAGGATCGCTTTACATCTCAAAATAAAGTGTCCTGGGTTGCTCTTCTTCTCACGAAAGCAATGCATGGTTTCAGTGCAAAGGCCAGAAAACATTGGTAGGCAAAAAGAACATAATTTTAGAGCAAATGAAACCCATACAGAAACGACCGGTTGCCCTTTGGCAGGCATGTGCTTCCTCTTCTGTTTTTGTACACAGATGGGATTATATCAGAACCACACCTAATGTTGGCCAAGGACCCCCCCACCGTGAGCCAGGCCCTCTCATTTGGTTCTTACTATTATCCGCGTTCTCTTATTATCCCCATTTTCCAGATGAGAAAACAGGCACAGAGAGGCTCAGTAAGATGCCCAATGCTCAGGACTGCTTGATGGCAAAGCCAGGATTTGAACTCAGGTACTTTGAACCTGAACGTTTTGCCATTTGCTCCCTGCTGTCTACAAATAAGCAGTTTTGTAAACTGCCTCTTCACCTATTTTTCATGAACGTCTTTTCATGTCAACAAATGCAGCTCTTCAACGTTAATTTCAGTGGCTATCCCATGACTCATTTTGCTTTTACAAAGGTCAGGTTAGTGAACATCCTGGAAGCTATATCTTTGTTCAATGCCCAGAAGAGGCCTTTCTGGGTCAAAGGGCACACCTTAAATCATTCTTGGAATGTGTAGGAACAGATGTTTGCTGGATCAGTGTTCGTTCTGGAGCTGAAACACATTAACTCCGAAAAAGCTCAAAAACAGGAAAACAGAAGGTTTAGCATGCACGGTATAGAACTGCCTAATGGCAATTCTGCACTTGAAAAAAAGCCAATTTCTAATATAGGTAAACAGTAAGAACCTTTGCAAAGTGTAAGTCACCGGTCGCACACCCGTGTTGTTGGTTATGACCCTCCTGTCAGATCCAGTCCCCCTGGCCCTGAGCTGAAATAGGGTTCTGCAACACCCAGCCAGTAATCTTATCCAAGTGGATTGCACTGACTCGACTGCAGCAAGCATTCCTACAGCATGATCTTTAAAAAATGGATAATCATTTAAAAAATTTATATTGGAATTGCTTCTGGCACTTTGAGCTGGGAGACATGAGCCTTCGCTGCATTTACGTCCTGCCAAATTTCCTTCCCAAAAGGCCCCCCTAATTTAGGCTCCTTCTCCCATGAGCACAGCTCAGGGCAGGCATGCTGCTGCAGGGGGTGGTCCCCAGGCACCTACTTGGGTGGCTTCTCCACCGTGCGGTAGGAATTGAAGGACTGTAGCTGGTTCTGGACCCCGCTCAGGGAGTTGGCCAGCTGCCGGTCGTTGAGGGTCACAATTGTTTGCTCAATCCACTGCAGCAGTTCTGAGGCCAGGGACTCGTACTTCTCTACCAGACGCTCTGCCTCCATGGCATGGTCCAGCACCTGTGAGACAGCGACATGGGGGGCCTGCCCACGGGGTCCCTGGCCCAGCCCCACAGCTCCGCCCTGTCTCTGCTTTAGGGGAGGAAGACCTCCAGGCCAGACCTCTGTGCTGACCGCCCCGTGGTGGGGAATACCTTGCCAATCCTTTTGCCTTCCACAGCCAGGGCCTTCATCTTGGAGAAGTAGTGGTAGTAAGTAGCCACGTAAGTAATGATTGATTTCTCATCTGGCTGGTCCACATTCACATCTGAGAAAAAGGATCACCCAGGTCAGTCGTGTATGCTTAGAGATTAGGAACCTGCCTTCCAGAAATCCACCTGCAGCTTGAATCATTCACCCCAGTCCCAGCCTCACCCCATCCCCAACCCTCCAAGACTGACCTCTTTCCAGTACCTCTCAGTACAAAATGACAAATAAATCCTTTGGACTAAAAGGGCATGCAAAAGCTAAGATTTTTTTTTTTTCCCCTCCTAGAAACAAGCAGAGGACAAAATTCAGAAGCCCAAGGAGGTTTTTACCCACTGTTTCCAGTGGAGACCAAAGTTAGTTGTTTAGGGGAAGAAAGGTAAGGAAAGAAACCGTATTCCTGTCTGGGGATGGATCTTGTACTTAAGAACTGGAAAGATGTCTAAGAAGTCAATGGATTCAGGGGCAGCAAGACGGAGGGTACAAAGTAAGCTTCCTGCACCCAGGATGTTCAGAGGGACAGGCCCAGTGAGCCCCAGCAGTTCTCAGGGCCATCTTGGGGCATGGTCACGGCTACTTTCGACCTCAATCCCAAAGTTCAGCTATGGGTCCAAGGAGTTGAATGTCCTTGAGGCAAATCAGCTTCTACCACAAGGGCGAAGGCTGACTAGGACTTGAAATCCCTGGGTTCTATTAGGCAGATTCCATCCTGCCTAAAGGGAAGACTAGAGGACCAGCAGCCCTTTGACCACTTCTGAAAGCTCACACGCAGGCAGGAACCACTGGAATCACCTCGTCAAGTTACAGGATACTTAGCTTTGCATAAATGTTCTTTATCATAGCTGTGCTTCTCCAATGCTCTCCCAGGATCCTACATTTGCCCTCCCTCTAACATCAGTTAGCTGTCGTCTCTCTGGACTGAGAGGGACTGAGATGGGGCTACGGTGGGATGGAAAACAGGGAGAAAACAACCGAGACCCAAGTCTGCCCAGGGAGTTTAAGAAGGGGCGTTTCCAGCTGGGAAGCCCCTTGGCCCTTCTCTGCCTCCCTTTCCTGGAGGCACCAAGACTGTTCTCTGCTCTCCCAGATGTGGCTGAGCAAACAGGTCTGGAGTTTGACTCTCTGCTCCACCAGCTGTATGACCTTGGGAAAGTCACTTAACCCTGTTATAGGTCCCCATCTTCTCCTCCATAAATGGAGAATAATAACAGTACTGATTTCAAGGGGGTGTTGTGAGGATTAAATTAATTGAAACATCAAGTGCAGTGCCAAGTACCAAATAAAAGCCTGGTGGCTATGGCCAGTCTCACCAGTGTTAATGTCAGAACCACAGAGGCCAGTCAGCAGGGGCTGCTGACTGTAAGGCCCACGTTTGGTGAGTCCTCAAGGTCATGCAGCTTAGGGGCGCTGGGGTCGCTTAGTCGGTTAAGCATCCAACTTCAGCTCAGGTCATGATCTTGCAGTCTGTGGGTTTGAGCCCCGCGTTGGGCTCTGTGCTGACAGCTCAGAGCCTGGAGCCTGCTTCGGATTCTGTGTCTCCCTCTCTCTCTGCCCCTCCCCTGCTCACACTCTGTCTGTCTGTCTCTCTCTCTCTCTCTCTCTCTCAAAAATAAACATTAAAAAATTTTTTTAAAAAAGGTCATGCAGCTTTATTTAGAACCCTAGAATTTTAGAATGAGAAGGGCCTTAGAGACCACATAGACCAATCTTCCCATATTAGAGATGAGGAAACTAAGCCACAGAGAGGCTAAGTGACTGGCTCTAGAGCTGGTCCATGGTGGGGCTGGGATGGAACTGTAGCCTAGGGCTCTTTCTGCCACAGGGTGGCACCTCTTCCCACAGCTGTTTTTTTTTTTTGTTTTTTTTTTTAATTGAGATATAATTCTCATACCATAAAATTCACCCTTTTAAAGTATACTATTCAGGGGCGCCTGGGTGGCTCAGTCAGTTAAGTGTCCGACTTCAGCTCAGGTCATGATCTCACCGTTCGTGAGTTCGAGCCCCGCGGCGGGCTCTGTGCTGACAGCTCAGAGCCTGGAGCCTGCTTCAGATCTGTGTCTCCCTCTCTCTCTCTGCCCCTCCCCTGCTCGCACTCTGTCTATCTCTCTGTCTCAAAAGTAAACATAAAAAAATTTTTTTTAAATAAAAAAATAAAGTATACTATTCATGGGGCGCCTGGGTGACTCAGTCGGTTAAGTGCCCAACTTCTGCTCAGGTCATGGTGGCATAGCTTGTGAGTTCGAGCCTGCGTTGGGCTCTGTGTTGACAGCTCAGAGCCCAGAGTCTGCTTCAAATTCTGTGTCTCCTTCTCTCTCTGCCCCTCCCCAGCTCATGCTCTGTCTCTCTCTCTCTCTCTCCTCCAAAAATAAACACTAAAAAAAAATTAAAAATTAAGTATACTATTCAGCAGTTTTTAGTATATTCACAAGGACGTGCAGCCCTCACCACTATCTATTCTGGAACATCATCCCCCAAAGGAAACCCCATATCCATTAGCAGTCACCTCCCATGCACACACCCCACCCCTCTGCCAGCCCCAGGCGCCCACTCATCATCTGCCTTCTATCTCTATCTTGCAGCGTCTTTGGTAGACCCCTCTGCCCCACCTTCAGGATCCAGCAGTTTCGTGAGCCCCAGCTCCTTCTCGGCCAGATTGAAAGCGTTTTGCAGATTGTAGTGTGCATTGCACTTCTTCAGTGACTCAAAATCCAGCAGATCCGGCCTGCAACGAGGGGGAATATAGAAGGCATTGGGAGCACATGAGCTCCTAAAGAGGAAAAGTAAAGCTACCCCTATTCTTTATCCTTGTCACCAACTCCATTTTGTCCAGAACCAAGGACCCTAAACCCACACACACCCATCCCTCCCCATCTCGGCTCCCATCCCTGCCTTCTGTGCATCGTGTTGCCCCCACATCCCAGCTCTTCTCTGAATGTTCATTTCTCATAACTGCCGGGTGGCCCATCTCACTGTTTGTGCGTGTGTGTGCCCCTAGGCCATTAACCAACCCGGCAGCTCGGGTGGGCTCGCTAACCCTGGCTCCTCACCGGTGTTTATGCACAATGGCGTTGAAGGCCAGACCATCTCTCCAGCTGGTGGTGAAGTTGTGCACGTTGACATTGGGATACCTATATACAGAGACCGGGACAAATGGTAAGTAGGGCCTAGCCCGGGTCTGCAACTCAACAATGGATCCCCAGCTAATAGGTCCTGGAGCCCAGGCCTCCTTTACCACACAGCTTGGTGCATCCAACCCTCCAAGGCCATGGTCCCTGGGCAGCCTCACCCCGCGGTCTTCATCTGGCACCACAGCAGTAGGGCATCCTTGGCTGACTTCTTCTCCTTGTTGTCTTCTGTTTCCACACTGATGTCCTGGATCTAAGAAGGAGAGAAAGAAGATCCTCACTCTTTGAACAGGGGCTCCTGGAGTTATTGGAGATACTCAGAAATGTACAGCAGGAAACTGCTCCTTAGACTCCTGTGATAGGGGTGCAGGAACAGAGCCTGGGACCGTTCCTCCTAGGCGAGTGACCACAAAACATTGGTTCAAAAGGATCTGAGGCATCAAGATGGGGTAAGATGTCAGAATAGTGGACGTTCTTCAAGATGAAGGTTGCTGCCTCCTCCAGGTGGGGACCCACGAGTGCCTGAGAGCAGGGTTTTAAAGGGGACACTGATGGAGTTCTGCTCAGGGCTGCGAGGAGCTGAAAAGGTTACACCCAGGGAGAAAGGGGACAACCAGGACAGTTGTGATGGCATTAGGACACTGGACTGCCTGTGCTCAGAGCATAAGGAACAGTACGGTGACTGTTTTAGGGAGGCAAGCAGAGTTTGAGACAGAGGAGTGGACCAATGACCAGACCCCAAATGCAGTTCTCAAACTCTCAGGGGTGAAAGTTCAGTCTGTAAAATCTCCAGTCCCTTGTGGTCCAACATGTGGTCGTACTACATGTGACCAGTCAACAAACCGGGCCACAGGGAACTGGCCACAGAAGTTTGACAACACTCACACTGGTCTCTACTCTGTTTAAGGAGGAGAGTCCCTTGATCTGGGGCCTGGATATTGCAGCAACCAACAAAGTGCTATACAAGGTTCTAGACCCTTCCTGTTTATATCGATCATGCCAGGGACTGGCAGTGCCTGTCCACGGTACAGCACCAATGTGCAAAGCACATTCTGCGTGACACTCTGTGGGGTACCTGGAATCGAAGGATGATGGTCCAGACCAGCCCAAGGGTCAGACGGTGGTTTCCGTCCACAATGTCATGGGAGCCCATATTTTCCAAGTGCACTTTCTGCTCCTTCAGGAACTGTAGCGCCTTGTCCACGTTCTCCAGGCAGTGGATCCGCATGCGGCCTTTTGTCGGCTTTGGCTGTTGAGGGACAGAGGACACAATGACATGAATCCATGGGCCTCCTCCTCCTTCCCTCCTAGCCTTCCCAGGGCCCTCTTTTGCACACCTTCCCCATGATCCCCCTCAGGAACACAGGGACAGCCCTCAAGTCTGGGCCAAAGTTCACACAGCCAAAGCTGAGGTTCCAGATCAGGCTTGGGCAGATTAAGATTCCCAAGGGAATTAATTGCACCCAGAGTGGGTGGGAAAAGAAATGTTTTCAATGGGGCCACTGTTTCTGTCTCCATGAAGCAATGCTCCTGTTTAATCCATGTAGCAAAGCCTCTCCAACTGAAACCATCCTCTGAGCAGACAACAGCCAACTGCTTTCCACTCTGTGCTGTCATTCCTCTCGAAGGGCAACTCCAAGTTTGTCCCCTTGCCCACTGTTTTTCGGCCTCCCTCCTCCTCTATGACCACAGCTTACCAGTGTCTCTCCTGAGAGCACCTCGAGGAGCCTCAGGAGGTTACGTCCATCCCGGAGGTCGCTGTACAGGTCTCCCACCCGGCATGTCACCCGGGCCAGGTGTGAGTTCACCCACTTGGTGAAGGTTTTCTTCTGCACAGCTTCTCGCTCATCTGTGGCAGCGATATGGGGTCATTTCTAGCCTTCAAGTACAGTGCATCTGCTTCTAAATACCAGTTGACAGGGTTAGGGGCCTGGGGGTGCTTGAGAGACTGGAAGTGAGGTCGGGTATGCAGGAGGGGAAGGAAGGTGCCTGAGATCCCTAACTTAAAAGCAGGAAATAAAGAAAATGGAATGAGCTCATAAAGTAAAAAATAAAAATGAGAAAACAGGCTTTGAGAACAAAGGATGAAAGGAATTAGAGGCAGTGAGACATACGGAGAAGGGCTAGGATCTGGGACCAGGGCTCTGTCCTGTAACAGTGGTGAAACACTGTTACTTCATCAGGGCCTCACTTTCCTTATCTGTAAAACGGGCATACTACTCGACTTTCTACTTCAACGGGTCACTACGTTGATTAAATGAGACAATGTATGTAAGAAGCTTGGCACACATGATGAGTTACTCCTTGATGAGTTACAGTTATCCAGGCATGATCTAACCCGAAGGAAAACCAGGACCAGCAGGAGGTGTGGCTGTTCTCTTTGGTGATGGACAAAGGAAAGGGCGTGGACTTAAATTACAGCAGCAGCAGCAGCAGCAGCAGCAGCAGCAGCAGCAGCAGCAGCGGCTCTTCCAAGTGGTCATTAGAAGGATATGACATTAGAGGCTGCGAGCCTCCTGAGTCAGCTTGCTCTCCTGGGATAATTTAAAGAAAAGACAGACTCCTCTACTTCTGGGGTGGGTTCATTTGATTGGCTGAAAGGGGATCCTGTCCCAGGACACCAACATTCCAATGCAAAGAAGGAAAACAATCTTGAAAGCTGGGAATAGGGAAAACACTGAGCCCAAGAAACACAGGGGGAAGCTTCAGGCAGAGTTAGGTGCAGATCTCAAAGAAGGTGAGGAAATGCCTTGCTGCCTGGTCTGCAAGAAGGGCTGCTGATAAACACATGCTTTTTAGGTTCTGCAGAAAAGTTAAAATTTTAAACGTTATAAATGACAAAGTGAGGGAAGAAGTGCAGGCCATTGGGAGCTGCTCTGGCCACGAGGATTTCTGCCCATTTCCCCTAGAGAAGCCTAGTGTGAGGACCCAACCCAAGTGGCCAGGGTCTGAAGAGTCACTTTTGTTTCCCTTCTCAGCACCAGCATCTCAGAAACTGAAAAGACTCATCCCTGAGTCTCACATTCCTAGGCACCTCACCCATAAAACATAACAACACACCCATGTCTATTTCTGTCTCTTACCTCCAACCTCTGTCTCTTACCCAGGCCAACCTTGGGGTCCTAACAACTGCACCCATGGGCCCCTGCTCTGTGGGCCTCCTTTCAGGGTCCACAGGCCCCTTCTGAGCTTGGGATTGCCCAGATCATCAGCCATTATTGGATCTGTGGAGACTGCCCTGATGCCAGGGGCACTGGGGTGAGGCCATTTTGGCCCACAGGTAGGGTAAGAGAGGAAGACGTGAAAACAGTGGCAGCTAGGAGAAAACTGGGCAAAGCCAAGAACCAGAGGCAAAGCAGAATTTCACAAGGTGCCCACAACACCCACGGACACCCCAAAACACAGTGGGTTCCAAAAATACACTGAAATATTGATGCCAGCATGAACACATGCCTGCTCAGAATATACCTGAGCCTGTCTGACGCACTCCCTCACACACCTCGGGACACCCACTCAGAAACCCAGGGCAACAGGGACAAGCCCTAGGTGGCTCAGCCTTCCCGCTCACCACCCTCTCTCCTTCCAGCTATCCCAGCAGGTGCTTCACCTCCAAACCCTCAGCAGCCACAGCGGACTGCCTGGGTGCCCTCCTGTGCGCTGCCACCACGCTCACTGTCCCTTCTTCCAGGGCATCCAAGCCTCCTTTCCCCACTCTGTCAGTACCAAGTTTTTCGTGGGCTCTTGTAATTACTCCCCCGGCACATCGTCGGCTGAGCACGGACCATGTCCCACTCGGGCTTTGCTCCGCTGCTCCCGCCCGGT